ACACTTATTTTGTAAAAATAAAACAAGCTAAAACCAACTTTTCCTCTTAAATGTTCTTTCGGACCTAATCTTATCCTTAAAAATTCGTCTCTTTCCGCAGGTTTTACAATTTCCGCCAATCGTTGATATGTCCATGCAGTAGCTTTCCAATCATTAATACATCCAGACATTACGAACGGTTCTAAGTATGCAATTTTTGAACGCACATCGGTATATGATTCCATTAGTAATCTAAAATTTTACATCGACGAATTTTTTTCTTCTTTTCAAAGTACATGAAGCAGTTATAACAACGTCATAATATCATATATTTTACTGTTCAATCAAGCATATTAAAAATATGACGACATAATAAACTTCCTGCTGAAAGTTTAAGTTAAAATATGACGTCAAACTCATGCGTAATATTCTACACATTCGTGACTGTCCAAACTAAATTTTGCATTCATCAAAACATCCGATTACATTGAATAGTTACCGTTTAATCTCTTGTATAACGATCAAAAATAATAATACACAATAGTTTGTACACAAAAATCGTCATTCCTTGATTTCTACAAATTTATCTAGTGAATTTTCCTTTGATCTTCATGAGCTTATCCAGTGAATCTTTTGCCCATCAATAAATATCCCAAGTCAGATGAATTGACATTTTTTAAAAACAATCTTCCCGTTAATTTCAAGAACGAATAATTGAGTCCGAATATCAAACTCTTATACATAAGTTGAAATGGAACTTTCATTACTAGATAATCAATAATTTAAAACGCAATACAACATATCTTAAGCTCAAGACGTTGCAAGTGTAAAATCTTCTCAACAGTACGTGTGTTCGAGAAAAACATTGTGTTTCAAACAAGCAGTATTAATTCAACTTTATTACATTTCTACATCAGAATAATCAAAACTACATCATGAATTGTTGAGTCATACATAGTACACAGTCAAAAGACGTACTCAAAAAGTGTATAAATATGATCAAAAAGAATTTATGACGACGATGATTCGGACGGAATCGACTCAAGTCCTTGAACTTTGTACATATTGCCTGTCAAGTTCCAATCTCGTTTGTTCAGGAAAATCCTTCAAAAAAAAGAGGTAAAGCTGGATAGTCGTCTTTTATGTGATTCGTTTGATAATTACTAACTGCTATTCCGGTCGTTTATTTGATTACTAGTAATAATAGTAATAAAATGTAATTGACAATCAGCTCATGCAATACTGCTAAATTGGACAGTGAATAATGCAATGTCCTAAAAAAAAAGCAGGAAATATCTTACATTAACTACTCATTCAAGTTTCACAAGTTATATTATAACACAATGGTGGGAACAAAATATTTTTATGTAGAATAATCTGAAGATTGTTCAGTTTGACACATGAAGCATTAATCAATAATAAGCACCCTGCATGTTAATAAAATATCCCATAGAAATATTTCGTTCATTTTGAATGCGTCATATTATGACTAGTGAGACTTGAATGAATAAATTAATATAAGATTGTTTTTTACCACATTCCGTTACTTATTACTCAAATGACACGCAGCATTCTACTGAAACTACAATATTTAAACTAAATTTCATAAGCACAAAGAAACCGATAGCATGAAAATGATTTCGCTTTTCTTGCCTTACTTCCACATGCTATTGTCACAACCTTAATTTAAAAAAAATTAATATGCGTACGACGGTACCAAAAAATGATAGTACCAAAAAAATTTTGCTTGAAAAAAGAAGATCAAAATGCATACATGTAACTATGCATATATCGACGATGTGCATGACCGGTTTCCAACAGATTGACCGGTAGCATAGCATACATTGTTATTACCACACAGCCAACTGTTATCACACTCGAATAAATCTGCTCATACCACATTAGTTTTGTACTAAAAAAATAATCCTGTTTAATGAAATACGTAACATTCCTGAGATTTCTTTAAAGTCCATTCATGAATTTCCGTGTAATATTGACAGAATAATCCTTTCATAACTGTAAAATCAATTTCATAATACTTATAATAACATTAGCAAATGCTATTATTGTAAGCACTGGTAAAAGAAGAAAAAAAAGCAAGTAATTCATTTGTTGCTCAGAACTGATCCGCAAAATTTATTCCAGGCAAACCTACTTGGACTGTTTGGACCAGTAAGGCTAGGATTCAAACAATTTGTGGTATGAAAAAGCAGTATTTGATCTGAATTTATTCATATGAAGTAGATGACCTAGATATTATCATCTTAAACCACAACTTGTTTGGACAGACCCAAGTTAAGTGAACCTCCTCACATTATCCGAACCTAGCAAAAAGCTTCTGATCTACATCAGACCGGTTACTTCTCCGTCTTACTAGTACCATCCAACAAATCCAGGATATCAAGGAAAAACAGAACCACTTGTAACAATCCACCACAAACTGGACGAACTTGACATCATCGCCGCATAAGCCACACATGCAACCACATGCCTCACAATGCAATTCCATCGTATCACCATTTTTTATAAATGTTAATGATTAAACGTATTCACCGAAAAACTTTTCGACAATAAAGCAGTGATGTATCACAATTAAAAAATTTTTTGTGAAATAACTGAAATTGTTTTTTTCCAATTTTGATTGAGTCATGGGAACTTTTAAAATTTAATTTACTGTCTTCAAAATTGCGTGTTACATGATACAATGTATCATCAAATTCAGTAATGTTTATCACAATCATTTACTATTAAAAGCTGAAAAATATAGCAAACATTATCTTGGTTTAAGAAAAAAACAAAAACAATAATTACTATTACACTTATGGAAAGAATGAAAAGCTTATTATCTATAAGATTTAGCCAAGCTTTATACGACCAATTTTTAATTGTAACAAAGCCTAATAAAATGTTAAGCTCTTGATTGGTACCATTCTAATTTAGTGCTATGTAAGATAAAATAAAATTTAGTGTTCTAAATACATTCTACTATCATTAATATTAAACTTTCTCATTCATTCATAAAGCTGTTCATTTCCTTTCTTTAAAAAAAAAAAAGTTTTGTCGCACTTCTATTTGAATCTGTACTTGGCTAATTAATTGTTAATAGGAAATTTTAGGTTTCTATTATATTGAATTCTATGAAGGATTTCAAAAAAAAAAGCTTTTTTTTGCAATCACCAAGCCCATTTATTTTATATTGAAGTCTTTTTCGGTTTATTAGAAAAAAAAAAAATTGGAAGGAATTTTTTCAAATAATTGAGTTTTTTCAAATATTGAGTTAAAATTATTTATTGTGTACATTTGTTAACATCAAATTTTCCGGAATTTTCCATAACAGATATTTTCTAGAATTTTCTTCAGTACATATTTCCTGGAATTTCCCATAACAAATATATTTTAGAATTTTCCGTAATAAATATTTTCGGGAATTTCCATTGGTAGATATTTCCCAGTATCGTGCAGATATGATAAACTCATATAATAAAAAAAAAGGGATTAATCAAAAAAATAAATTATTTAACCAATTTTTCGATTTATTAAAATTTTTTTCATCAATTATCAATGTTAACTAAAATTTGTAATTTCTATCGAAACAGATTAATCGCTATTTTTGACGGTGCAATACAAAAGATATCTGTTTGTTGTAATGACCGGATAACCTGAATTATTTTATCTTCTTTGAATTTTCTACAACGAATACTTCCTTTTCAAACTTGCAATATTACTTTTCCATCAAGTTGACATTATGTTAATTAAACTTTATTTAATGGTAAGTTTCTGCATACAGTTGGAAAGTTGACAAGATAGTTTTTTTTGTTTTAAAAATTTCTGCACCCTTTTCGCTCGTTTTTTTTCAAAAATTTGTGAAGTCAAAAAGACAAGTTTTTTAATAAATTTTAAATGACAATTTTATCTGTTACATGTCAGTGTCATTCCGCATCACCGTTTTCACTCATTGTCACAAGCTCATTCCGCTTGCAGTTGAGAGAATTGACGGGACAACTTTTCTAAAAATTTCCGCATTACTTTTAATCCAAAATTTATTATATAGCGTTTTTTGGTTTTTTTCAGTTAACATTCAATTAGCAGTTAGCATCTTTTACTCACCTTTCCTTATTTTCGATTTTCTGCAATGACTTTCACTTTTTTTAAATTTTATTTCGGAAATTTGTATAAACCTGAAGAGTAAATTTTAAAATCAAAATTGAATTAAGTGAAATTTTCCATTCATTTCAATTTTTGATTTCTTCATTTCTTATGTATTTTTCATTGCCATACTATTTACTAATTATGTAATACACAATATTTATTGCATTTAATATTTAATCAAAAAAGTATTACATCATTTGTTATCAAATTAATTAGCTAACAAGAAATCAACAATTAAAGCTAATAAACATTTCTAAGCCAACAAATGTCCTTACATGGTTAATGAGATTTGCAATGATCAAAATACTTCATGCACACCCATACGCACAAAAACAACACACACATACACACACACACACACACATACACACGCATACACACACGCATACACACACACACAATTACTTACGATTCCAACGACATCATTAAGTAAGTAATGATTGTACTCTTAATTGCTTCCATTTATTTCTGCTTCATCGATTCAAGTCTTATTGATGTAATAAATGAGCTTCAGTATGTTTAATCTAAAATTTGTCCTCATTTTATTTTAACAATCCATCTATTTTTATTTATTAAGGCTTAATTTTCTCACCGTAATATACTAACCTGCTACAGTAGTATTTCATATTTCATCGTAATATCTACTCCTAAAATAACATTCCACTCATTATCGCAAATATTTTGCTAATTGTACTGAAATTCCATACATTACACAAAATATTTGCCTGCCGCAGTAATGCTTTATGCATTACCATAATATTTAACCACTACAGTAACTTTTTACGTTATTATAACACTTCCTTACTACAGCGAAGTTTTACAAATTATCTTAACATGTGCTTACTACAGTGATATTTTGCTCATCACAGCAGCACTTGCTTATACAGGATATTTCATATGTCAACTTAATATTTGCTTCCACAGTAAAATTTTATATATCATCGTAATGTCGTCCTACTACTGTAACATTTTGTATAATACTGTATTACCTGAAATTATTGTGACATTCACTTACTGATTTTTTGTACAAAATATAAATATAAATATTAATATGGATATGAATATGAATATGAATATAATTATAAACATGAATATAAATAAATAAATAAATAGAGCAATTACAAGAAAAGCCTTATCATTTACATTCGAGGATATATATATATATATATATATATATATATATATATATATATATATATATATATATATATATTATTATTT